TCACACATTAATTCAAATGGTAATGAAAAATCAGGTGCCATCATGATAGGTGCAGTGGTCAACTTTTCTTTCAAAACATGGAATGCATGCAGACATTAACATAAATTCTTGGTCGTTTACCAACAACTTACATAAAGGCTTGGCAATTTTTGAAAAATCTTTAATAAACCGCCTATAAAATCCTGCATGACCAAGAAAGCTCCTCACACCTTTGACATTAACAGGTGGAGGGAGTTTCTCTATCACAGATATTTTTGCCCTATCCACTTCTATTCCTGCTCTAGACACCTTGTGCCCAAGAACAATTCCTTCAGTCACCATGAAGTGACATTTCTCCCAGTTCAAAACCAGATTACAGTCTTGACATCTTTTTAAAACAGAATCCAAATTTTCCAGACATGCATCAAAATTAGAGCCAAATACAGAAAAATCATCCATAAAAATTTCTATGCATTCTTCTACCATGTCAGAGAAAATGGAAAGCATGCACCTTTGAAAAGTGGCAAGAGCATTGCAGAAGTCGAAAGGCATCCTCCGGTATGCGAAAATTCCATATGGACATGTAAATGCAGTCTTCTCGTGATCATCTGGGGCAACAGCTATCTGATTATAACCTGAGTAGCCGTCCAAGAAACAGTAGAAAGCATGTCCTACCAATCTTTCCAACATCTGGTCCAAGAAAGGAAGTGGAAAATGATCCTTCCTTGTTGCCTTGTTCAGCCTCCGGTAGTCAATGCACATTCTTCATCCAGTGATTGTCCTTGTGGGAATCAGTTCATTATTCTCATTTTTCACCACAGTCATCCCCCCTTTCTTGGGTACTATTTGAACAGGACTCACCCAAGCACTGTCTGAGATAGGATAAATCATTCCAGCATCAAGTAGCTTCACAACCTCCTTCATAGTGGGGTTGAGTCTCCTCTGTGGTTGCCTTACTGGTTTGATTTCCTCTTCCATCAATATTTTGTGGGTGCAAAAGGAAGGATTGATACCCTTAAGATCTGAAAACTGCCATCCAATAGCCATTTTATTCTTCTTGAGTACCTTAATCAACTTCACTTCTTCACTCTCAGATAACATTGCATTGATGATTACTGGATATGTTTGATCATTCCCAAGGAACACATACTTCAGATTTGAAGGTAGTTCTTTAAGCTCTACCTTAGGTGCTCCCACTGGAATATCATCTATCTTCGTTTCAAGCTCTTCCACTACCGGTTCTTCTTGACAATTTTCTGTACATTTCTCCTCAATAAATCTGTCTTCCTCCAATGAAAAGTCTTCTTCTTTATTCACTTCTTCCACCATCTCCTGTATCACATCCAATCTGAAACAATCCCCCACATCAACAAGATGTTTGATGGCTTCAAAAACATCAATTGTAACAGTTTCTTCATCCACCCTCAACAGCAACTTCCCTTGTTCAACATCTATTAGAGATCTTGCAGTTGCTAAAAAGGGTCTTCCTAACAATAGAGGACTTTCAGTATCCTCTTCCTCCATATCAAGTATCACAAAATCTACAGGAAAAATAAACTTGTCTACTTTTACCAAAACATCTTCAACCACACCTTCGGGCTTCTTAATAGATTTATCTGCAAGATGCAAGATAAGATTAGTTTCCTTCAGGGTGTTGATTCCCAAGGCTCTACATACCGTCAATGGCATCAGATTTATGCTGGCTCCCAAATCACAGAGTGCCTTCTCCACTTCCACATCTCCTATAGCAATAGAGATGCTGAAACTTCCTGGATCTTGCAATTTTGGTGGAAGCTTCTTCTGAATCAGGGCACTACATTCTGCTGTCAGGGCCATTGTTTCACCAACATTCAGTTTTCTCTTCTTAGTAAGGAGATCTTTCATGAATTTGGCATAGTGGGGCATGTTCTCCAAAGCCTCAGAAAATGGAATGTTAATTTGCAAATTTTTGAAAATATCCAGAAATCTTGCATAGTGCTGTTTCTGAATCTCTTGCTTCAACCTCTGAGGGTAAGGAACTTTGGCACATGGAGACAAAGTGACTGGCTGGTCCTGCTTGTCAGCCATCTTCTTTTTCTCCCACTTCATTATCTTCTTGGGCATAACATCATTTTCAACTACCACCTTTTTTTCTTCCTTGTCTTCCGTCACTGTTTCTTTTTCTTCATTTCCTTTCACATTTTCTACTCCATCATCAGAGACTACATCTTCAACCACAACCTCCTCTTCATTCTTCTTATTCCCCACATTCTTTTTCACCTGTTGGAGCACCAACCCACTTCTTGTCATGATTGCTTTGCAATGCTCCTTAGGATTCACCATTGTATCTCCAGGAAACTTCCCCTGTGGTCTCTCAGATATCTGTCTTGATAGTTGACCAATTTGGGTCTCCAAATTCCTGATAGATGCTTCCTGATTTCTAAATGAAGTCTTGGTCTCTTGCATGAATGCAGATGTTTGCTCTCTGAATGAGTTAGACCCCTGAATGTAATCTTGAGTAGTCTTGGATAACTGAGCAAAGGCTTTTTCCCATGCAGCAGTATCACTTTGCTGTGATGAGTGTATTGGAGGAGGATGCAGTGGAGGATTCAACTAATGGTTGGAACAATAACTAAACCCTGGGTGCTGATTCTTGTTCTTCCATGGTGGCACATACATATTTCGCCCCTGGATGTTGTAATTCCTCTGGTTGTTGTTGTCATACCACACTCCATTAACTTCTGCTTATTCTGATGATCCCCCATAATCACATTCTTCTGTCACATGGCCCTTCCCACAGATAGCACACACACACTTGGTGTCCACAGAAGCAACCTTTTGTGAGGATAGTTGCTTAGTGAGAACATCCAACTGCTGTTGCTGTTGTTTCTGTGTCTGCATCAATTGGTCATTCCTTGCCAATAGGACATCATACCCATCCAACTTGATGATCTCTGCCCTTCTGTCAGGAACTGGGGCATTATCAAATTCCTGAGATGCCAATGATTCAAAGATATCCAAAGCTTCTTGAGGAGTCTTGGTGGTCAATGATCCACCAGCAGTGGCATGCACCAATGTCCTAGTGGTGGTGGTCATTCCTTGTAGGAAGATTGCTGCTTGTTGCCATGCCTCTATTCCATGCTGTGGACATTTCCTCAATAAAGTCTTGAACCTCTCCCATGCCTCATAGATGGATTCTGACTCTTTTTTCTTGAAGCTTGTAATTTAATCCTTCAACTTAGCCCTCTTGGATGCTGAGAAAAACCTCTGCAAGAACTTGGTTTGCAGATCATCCCAAGTTGTTATACTCCCCTGAGGCAATGATTGCAACCATCTCCTTGCATCATCCGTCAGTGAATGAGTGAATAGTCTCAACAGAATTGCATCCCTTGTGACACCATTAATTTTTACAGTATCACTCAACAACAGAAAATTTTCTATGTGCAAGTATGGGTCCTCTGCACTGGTTCCAGCAAACTGATCTTTCTGTACCAAATGTATCAATGCAGGTTTCAATTCGAAGTTGTTTGGCTCCACTGTAGGGCGCACAACACTTCCAATGGGATGGATCACTGTAGGAGTCATGTAATCTCCCAGTGTCCTCTGTTCTGGTGGTGGTCTGTGGTTCTCTGCCATTATCTCTTCTTGGTAGACAGCACTGGATTCACCCCTTTCTTCAAACTGTCTTCTTTGTCTGCTTGCCCTTTTGTTCTTCCTCACTGTCCTTTCTAATTCTTGATCATACAACAACAAATTTGGATCAACTCTACCTCGCATACACCAGAATTAAAATTGACCAAAAACTTAACTAAAAGTAAAATGCTGAAAATAAAAGATTCAATCTCAGATTTCTATGATATCAATCAATGTTGAAAAACAAATCCCCGGCAACGGCGCCAAAAACTTGTTGCGTATCTAGCAAGTGTACTAGTCGTACAAGTAATAAGATGATGAGTAAAGATCGTTCCCACAGAGATTTGTATTCAAACACCAATGAACCATAGAAAACTAATTTGAATTAAACAAAGGTTTGTAAAAATCATGAATGTTTTGTCACCAGAAAGTTAATTTGAAAGTAAATTAATTTAATACTAAAAATTTGAATTAAGATTTATAAAAACAAGTAGTCAGAAAACAACTTTCTTCAACAATAAACTCATGTAAACTGATCATATGATGAACTCTTTTTCCTGTGATGTTAATCAGCCTTTTACTTATCCTCAAGATGTAATCCCTTACTACCCTGATAGATACATTAATCAGAAACCCCAATCCCTTGGTGATTCCTTTCGTAATATATGCATTAAATACTAAGGTCTTAAGATTACATCAGAACTATAGCATCAATTCCTTGAGTACTATAATCCTGGTGATGAGATTATCAGATATAGGAGTAGTGTAAACATTCCTGTTCTACACTCTTCCCTTAGTAGAAAGAGTTGAATCAGAAAATCTCATATCAACACATGAAAAACACTTCATCATATTAATCAAATATACATAAGAATATCATTGAGTTCCATTGAATTCAGACTACAATGACTCTACTCAGACATAACTAAAGAAGATAAAAGAGAAGAAAGATCAAACTCCATTTCCATGTAGTGAATCTTCAATCTCCAAGTGCAATTACAATAGAGAAACTAACTAATACAAAGACTAAGTCCTAAGAATTTTAGAGAGAACTCAGATCAGAGAATCTGATGTAGGAGAGAGAGAGACTCCAGATATCCCAAATTGTGAAGGCCTTTGCCTTATATAGTTTTACAATTTAAAACAGAAATTTAATATGGGCGCTAAAACGTTCAGAATGAGCGTTTTAGCGTCCATGCTTGACGGATGCCCAACTGCTTTCAACTAACTTGAACGCTAAAACGTTCATGAATGGCCGTTTTAGCGTTCATACCTCGTGAATGCTCAACTGTCCTCAACTGACTCCAGCGCTAAAACACTTGGTTTGGACGTTTTAACGTTGGAGACCAGAGACTTTTTAACATCAGGGCGCTAAAACGTTCGTTGAAGGAAGTTTTAGCGCCTAAGAAGAGCAACTTTTCATCCTCAGAATGCAGCAGCGCGCTAAAACGTTCTATGTGGACGTTTTAGCGCTCAGCACCAGCAAGTTTTGGCCTCTTTCTGCAGCAGGGCGCTAAAACGTTCTGTGTGGACGTTTTAGCGCTCAACACTTAGGCATTTTTCTCCTCTTCAAAATCTCCTTCCTTTTCCAGTTGCCTTTTTAGCAAGCTTTTCCTACAAGAACAATACAAATTGTCAATAAAGCTTCTTGAACTTGTAGTTGAGGAAATTCTAGGATATTAACCTCTTTTTCCATCATTTAATTACACAAATTGATACTAATTCATGCTGAAAAACCTGATGAACTAAGGGTTTATCATGTACCTTTTCCAACTTATATTCAAACTTAGATCTCAAATTTCACTCGGCACGTTTTTCGATGCAATTGTACTGCTGTATTTTCGTTCGATAAAAATACTATTCATCAAATTTCCAGAAACTTGCCTAATAACTCAATATTTCGTTCTGAATCCATTTCCAAGTTTATTTTTCGCTTTTGAAACATTATACTAACATTTTACTGTTTAGGGTTACGTGTTTGTTAAATTACCGTTTTACTTTTTTTACGTATTTTGACCCAGAACTCAAGATTTTCACTAATCCTACCATTTAATCCTTATTTTACGTATTGATCATTTCCTTTTGACGAGGTGTTATACTTGCCTCATACTGTAATAAGTGGTGTTCAACGTATATAGGTCCAAAACTTAAGTGGGTAACAAAAGGTAATGATCAATACTTGAGATTATGATTAATAATAATAATAATATATTTGGATAGCAGGAGATCATTAATGTTGTTCGCGAGAATAGTACGTTGTACAAGATTCAACAGAGAGTCTTGGAGTTCTTTGTCGTTGGCTTCAGATATCTGTGAGTAAATAGTGGGGACTAGGCAATTCCAAATTGTATTTAATTTCTATTGTTATTATTTTATTTTTTTATTATTTTATACATATAAAGGTGGAGTGTTTGATACTTAAATGTTTTAAGGAACGAGATGACATAAAACGAAGATAGGTTGTTTGCTTAATTATTTATTTTACCAATATTTAATAAATGGTTTAGAATATATTATAGAATTAAGATATATTAATATTCTTAGAATTGAACATTTTTATTATTATTTGAATGATTTAAAAAAAAATACTTTTTGAAATTATTGAGGTTACCTTTATATTGCTTATAAGATATTTGACTTTGTTTTGATGGAATTGAGAAACGTTATAAAAGATATAAGAGTAAATACCTTTTTGGGTCCCTAAAAAAAAAAAGGTCCCCACTTTAGTCTTTACAACAAAAAATTAGTCGGTTGGTCCCTATGAAATTCAAAGTGGACCCATTTTAGTCCTTTTGAGGGACTAATATGGGTCTTTTTTTGAATCTGTGAGGGACTACAATTTCAACTAATTGGGTCCACTTTGAATTTCTTAGGGACCTCGAGACTAATTTTTTTTTGTAAGGGACTAAAATAGGGACCGTGTTTTTTGTTAGGGACCAAAAAAGGTATTTACTCAAGATATAAATTTCGTGGTTGAAACTTGGAGTAGTACCCCAACATTTGTGAAATTATTTATGAAACTTTGATTTACCTATGTCTTTGAAATTGGTTTTGGGGTGTGACTTAATCAGAACACTATATGCTAACAACAGTAGATGTTAGCATTGGTGTACAATGATTTATTTACAGGTGGGGAGCCTATGTAGCCTGTGAGCCTATTATATATTTATTGCAAGCGGGAGTCTAGCATCTTTATGATTATATTTGTAGGTGGGGAGCCCGGTATTGTGATCACATTATATTTACATGTGGGGACCCCATAATTGTTATGTTACAGTTCTTCTAAGTGTACCCCACTTATATATATATATATATATATATATATATATATATATATATATATATATATATATATATATATATATGTAACTGATTTGGTTTTGACAATTTGTTTTTAAGATTTGACATTTGATTTTTATCGCCATATTTTTTATAAGAGTAAAGTCCATTTTGGGTCCCTAACAAAAAACACGGTCCCAACTTGTACAAGATTATTATTCGATCATTGGATTAAAACCTTCTCTAGATAAAAAGGCTGTCAAGAAACATTACAAGAAGATGACAGTGTTGCTTCAGTATAAGTATATGTGCAAGTATGTGAATAAAAGACTCTCTTGTAAGAATTGTTGTGGTTCTTTCATTGCTGTTGAAACTGGGGCAGCCCCTGCAAATGGTTCATTTCCATATTGTCCTTGGTCATATGTGCCAGGAAATGGGCATGGAAGTCATTCATTTGATGGAGTTACATATGTTCCAACTAGTGCCACCTATTTCAATGGGAATGGGTTCACATGATACAATTCTAGACATGGATATGAGTATGCTTCAAATGCCTATTTCAATGGGGCTCTGCTGGACTCGTCAATCAAAATGTATCAAATGTTGGGAAAACTCAGTTCCCTCAAGCTCGGCTAAGCAGCCGAGAGAGAGAGAGAGAAGAAGAACACAACCAGATTTAACGTGGGAAAATCTTCTTCAATGAAGAAGTAAAAAACCCACGGGACCTAGTCCAGATCAAAAATCCACTATGAAAATAATGGTTACAAAGAATCAAATACACCAATGTGGTGGTTAACTCAACCTCTCCAACAATGGTGATAATCAAACTACCCTAGAGATGTTTCACTCAAACTCTCTCTAGAGATCTCTCAAATGCAAAGCATAAAGCTTTGCTCAAACAATCAAATAATTATCTCTCAAATTTTCTCTCTCATAATCTCGTAACCTAGCCTCCACCCACAACTAATGAATATATAGAGGAGGTGAGATCTAGGGTTAGGGTTTTTAAGAAATCCCTCAATAGGCTTGGGCTCAGCATTGAAGGAGGAAGCCCAACAAATCACCCCCTCCGACTTCAATGTGTCGGCTTCAGCATCAACCCGGCTCCTTCACACCAGTCTTCAAATTTCCTTGCTGGAACCGGCTTTGTCATCATGTCAGACCAATTTTGGTCAGTTTGCACCTTGACGAGTTCGAGCTCTCCACCTTCCACCACATCCCGGATCTAGTGATACCTCACATCAATGTGCTTAGTGCGGGAGTGATAGGTCGAATTCTTTGCAAGATGGATTGCGCTTTGATTGTCACAACCCAGCTCGTACTTGTCT